ATTGGGTCCAACTTCCCAAATTGCACTATAGAAAATAATGTAATTTAGTTTGACAAAAATGAAAGGAAAATAATAATATTTAAGGAAATGGAATAGAGGTAGATTAATTACTCTTGTGGATTGTGCAACACCCAATCTAAAATTGTTTTATATTCGACGGTAGAGTAGTCTTCTAAAAGATAGTTTGTTGGTGACTGTGTCTTTTTCCTTTAGTTTTCCGTTCTGTTGACAATCTGTAACATCTTCAATTTGGTGAGATGTCGATGTATGTGCTGCAATAGGGCTTGTATGAAGAGGAACATCTTGCTAAAGGGAACATATAGCAGCTTCCATATTTGATTTCCAATCTGAAAATTCGTTCAATACGTTGTTATTTTGTTCGTTGATGTGAGATTGTATTGAATTGAAACTGTCATCCACATAATGTTGCATGCTAGATTGTATGCTTCGGTAATGTTCTTCTTGCCATTGTTGTTGTTTTTGGTAATGTTCTTCTTGCCATTGTTGTTGTTGTTGGAAGAACTGTTGTTGGTTGTGAAGAAGTGTTTGATATTGAATTTCTTGTATTCTTGATTGTTCCGAAATGCACGAGGCCAATAAAGTATCACACATACCTGAGACATCTGACACTATATGTTGTTTTTGTATATTTAGCATCTATTCCAGTTTTTCTTTTGTGACATAATTAGAACTAATGTAGGTAGAACTTAGGCCAGCTTCAATCTCAATAGATGATCTTGAAGTAGTAGGCTCGGTTGGCATGTTATCAGTATATTCCTGGGTTTGTGGAGTCACATTGTCTAATTCCCCGGAAAGAATGTCATTAAGTATATTATGGTAGTTATCTCGTGGCAACGAAAGCGTTGTATATCACAGTGTCTATAATTCTTCTTCTGTAGGCTTTAGTATTACAAGTACTTCAATCTGTAATTATAATGAAACAATTTAATAAATTATTATAATTTTTATTTGTGGAAAAAAATAATAATTAAGTGATTAATGTTATGCGGTAAATGAATATAAGTAAATAATAAAACTACCCTTCGCGTAGCGAAGAATTGCTGAATTGTTCTTTCCGATAATACTGTCTTTGGCCTCCATTTGTGCATTCTTGGATATTCTAATGATGCGTGTCTATAGCGTCCAAATTTTCGACCAATCTGTGGAAACGCTTCATATATCCAATACTGAAAGATAATTAAAAATAAATATTAGATATAGATGATTTATACAAGCAATAAAATAATATATAAATTGACGAGNGAAATTGAGTTCTTTTAAACGGAATCGAAGAGTGATCACCTTTGAGGGGGACAAAAGGGATTCTTGGTAAAAAAACATATTTGCCACGATATTCGCCA